TATATTAGATTCAAATACAGAAATTCAGAAAGCTTAGATGTACCACATTCGTATTCTCCAAGTTTTTTTCTCTGAATTTTTTTGTACTCATATAATTGATTCTCAAAGTTTCTTCAGAGGAATAACAGCTATGTTGGTTTTCTGGGCTTTGATCACAACTAAACTATTTCTAGCAAAGCTTTTTTGTAAGCTCATTGAATTTTTTATTTGCAAAGGAATGAATAATTTTTATGCATAAACGTCATCTCACTTCAGCAAATTATGGAGACATCACCCTGATCCCTCGCTCATCCCAAAGAAGGAAAGTCCAGCAATACACAACTTCTCAGTGTTTAGATTTTTGATGAGCAAATTGAAGATTTTCCTATTTATGCGTACCCAAAAGAGAGTAAGGGTTCTTGATAGTGATCTAGGTAGATTATAAAATCAAGCTAAGCTCCGGTTATTTACAAGATAATGGAAGAATTTCATAAAAGATTTGGGATAATTTTATGTCTTTTTGAATGATTCTTTTCAAAGAGTTCGTATGAAATTATTACGATTACAAGCTCGCAGCGAATTTGTGGTTATCCCACAGAGGTTTTCCGGAGAGTGGCTACTACATCCATCGAAACTCATCTCATTTTCAAAAAAAAATTTCCAAAAGCACCAATTTTGGAGGTGCAGATAAATTCTAATTCTTGCCTCTTTGGACCTGCAACCTAACGTTAATTACCGCTTCCCAACTTTGACATAATGAGATCATTACGTAGAGCTCATCCTTTTACGATAATAAAGTATATCACCTTATTATAGAGGATTAGAATTTTCGTTTATATGGTACGAAACAATGTGGGCCACCCTGCAATGTTGATGGATTAGCTGCCGTGCATGATGTATAATCTGCTTTCGTGTGTTGCATTTAAAGAGAAGTGAACTATGAACTGCAGGAACTGGAATCTGCAACATTTCTCAGTAATTCCAGCCCTATGGCCCCCAAGCTGCTCTGGCTGCTCAGCTCTTCCTAAAATATCACCGCCAGCGCCAATGTGGTGGTGGCACATCGTAGGCAGCTCGTAACGATGTTTGTTATTCTGCTGCCGATAGTCTCATTCAGCGCAAAGTTCTGTGCTGTTGTGACGGAGATGACATTTCAAGCTCAAGAATCTGTCTGTCTCTCTCCCCCCCCCCCCCCTCCCCGCCCCCTCTCCCCCGCCGAAGTTGGACCGCCGCCGTATCGTCGAACACGGGGCATTGCCACCCAATGCATAGCACTTGATATTCGGTTCGGAAGGACAATCTGCTCTGTGCTCTGCTGCTGTGTACGTGTTCGCTGTTCGCTATTCTCGTTTTGTCTCACATCACTGGGGTGGGTGAGAACGCAACATTAATTACGTTAGGGAGATGTTTTCCGCTAGTTGCTAGCTGGAGGGTCTAGACGATGAGGGCGGCGGAAAAACTCACGGCAGCAAGTGTGGAACGCAATGTGTGTGTGCTGAGATGCAGTGGAAGAGTGAGTGTGAGAATAGGAGAGAGCGGTTGGTGAAGAGAGAGGAACAAAAAGAGTTCGGTGCCGTATCAGTTGAATGGCCAGCGAGGCGAGCGGAGAAACAGAGACACAACACTGAGAGAGACAGTGATTGATTCGAGCAAAACCACGCGGGAGGTTTCGTTGGTTTTAGGGTATCCCCAAGTTTTGTTAGAGAGATGCCTGAAAATGTTCTTGGGTAAAGGAAGAGGTTGTGGAATGAGTACATAATTAAAAGGCGTCAAAACTTAGTCAACTAAAACTGTCGCTCTAGGCTCAAACTACCTGCGCGAATTGGGTACTCTAACATTACCGTGGGTAACAACCGATCTCCAACTGTTATCTGAGGGCTACTTGCTCTTGATCAAGAGGCATATACCCTGCGATCTCTTCAAATGCAACCCAGGGTGTAGGAATATGTATTCCTTGATTATTTCCGCGGTCGCTCAGACCGCCGCATTTGCTGACCGGGCGGCGGCCTGCCAGCTGCTGGCTGCCCGCTTAGTGTTCGCTGTGGTCTCGGCCGCCCAATTCGTCGCGTTCGAACGTTCACCCCCTTTTTCACCGCGGGTCTTTCCTCCGCCTTTTTTTTTAACGCTTGAGTATGCCTGCTTCTTGTGATTTTTGTGCTTCCCGTTGCCCGTGGAGAGCAAAAACATTTGCACAATAAAGACCACGGTGGACCACATGAAGTTCAACATTTTGTCCAATTTTCAACAAGGCTTATTTACGTGGAGAGCAGAACCAAAGGAAGAATTAGTGATAAGCCTACTAATTTTGGAAATCCTGCACAATATAGTTGTTTCGCGCTCCAACATCAAAGGAAATCAAAGAAAATACAGAGCCCAAATGAGTCACTAGAATTATCGGCAGCAATAGTGCCTATTTTGAGTATTTTGGGACAAGCTCCAAATCTTCTGTCCCCCCCCCCCCTCCCCCCAGTTTTGAGGTAAACAAATCTGCATTTTCAGCCAACGCGAATGAGTTGCAACCTTCTGCACTCCGCACTGCCGAGATCATTGAGTTTGCTCACAGAGAACTCCAAAGTACTTTTTTTCTTCCTACGATGACTTCATCGTCCTCACTGCTCTGCAGCTCACATCATGCTGCAAATAGCCGTTGCGGCTTATTGCCGACTTTTTCCTCCATCGCCGTTAGCACGTCTGCTGCCACATCTTTTGGAAATGCTAGCTTTTATCTTTCTCATATCAATTTGAAAATTTGCTGATTTGTTAATTAGTACCATCCAAACAGTCTGTTTTATCTGAAGTCCACAAATATGTGAAAGATTAGTGCGTCACCTCCAAAAAAACGATTGCGTAACTATAGAGTATTATTCGTTATGAACTCTAAATTTTTGATGATCAATTTCTCAAGTTCCGGACCCCCACCGTGTTGCCGTGTGATGTGCTCTTGATCAAAGGCAGGGGCTAGATTACAATGCCAAGCAGATGATCAGGCCAGTGCCAAAGAAAAGGACGAAGTCCAGTTTTGTAATGACTAAAAACCAAAACAATTTCTCAAAGAAGTGGGTGACGAAGGGGACGGGTTGGCAAAATACGGTAATGAGTTTGAATGTCAGGACAGTGAAGGGAAAGAGATTATTTATTACTTTTTGTTATCATTGTATTACATTATTACTATCATAGGCAGGGGCTAGATTACAATGCCAAGCAGATTATTACCATTAATTAAACCTATCACTTGAGGTTCCATTCAAATTCCAAGCCATTCCACACCAAGAAGCAGACGCGAAAAACAGCAAATTTTTTGGAATATGTCGCTTTTTTTGCTCCAGTTTCTTGAGACAGGACCTAAAGAGCTTGCTGACTGTTTCCTAGAAGCTCACCCATTTTCTCTCTTTTTCGACCTCCTACATGCCAAAGTCCACGCCGTCCCGCAAAAAAATGTCTCAAGTATTTCTCCCAGCAAATCAAAAAACGCCAGTCTCTTGCTCTATCTGCTGCCGTCATAGCTTGTCGTCTCGTCGCAACGCCTTGCCTTTTTTCCGCGCTCTCGCACTTTTCGCGTTATAAAAAACGCGTAATTTGTAAAATAGTGTGGAGCTCAACGATCTCTGGCATAGACAATGTTGCACTGTTCACGTACTCTCGTGCACTTTACTACTTAGTTTTTCGTTTCTTCCCTGGAAGCCTGAAAAGAGAGAATTGCTTGTATACTAGGACAAGATAGTGCTGATAAGAACTCGTAAGAGTTTGGAGATGAGGGGGAAGGTGAAGCACGATTATTCTGGGAACTTTCTGGAAGTTCTACTCAAACAAATGACCGGAACTTCCGCAGAGCGCTTGCGGAAGTTCCGCCGGGTCACCTGCGGAAGTTCCGTAAACGTGCTGCGGAAGTTCCGAAATGAGGTCCTGCGGAAGTTCTGAAGAATGCCAACCACAACAGCAAAAGAGAACACCGAAGCGAGATTTGAACCTCACTCTATTGACTGTGAGACCCACCTACTATCCTCTACGCCACGGCTAACATGTTCGATAATGCACTCTAGTTGTTGGCGAGGTAACATCACGAGACAACACATTCAAAGTCCTGCGGAAGTTCTGGCAGGCCAAAGTGCTGCGGAACCTCTGGCATTTTTCGGAATTCCCGCAGGATTTTGAAGAAGGTTTTGCGGAAGTTCCGGTTTTCCCAGTTTGGCGTGAAAATCCCGCAGAAGTTGCAATTTTCAACGTTTTCATCTTTGCAATAGTGAACAAAATCCTGCGGAACTTCTGCAAATTTGGCTTGTCCTGCGGAAGTTCCGGTGATTTGTCTGAGTAGTTGCAGCAACGATACTGTATTTATGCTGTACAATGAAATTTGGGGAGATGTCCTAACTTGTCCTATTTTTGAATTTTTGAACTTTGGCTGTACTGTACGCTGAAGATTGTGGCAGTAAGGGAGTAAATAGTGCTAAACTAACTGGACACGACGGAATGTTAGAATACCGTTCTTCTAGTGTCATTTTGTCCTCTTCAATTGATAATTTGACGACGAAAATTTTGATTTTACAAGGGAAAGCATTCAATTTTGCAATACGTATGCCCCCCCCCCCCTGAACAAGACCGCTTTCTGTCAAGTATGATCGGCTCCAAGATTCGTGTAGAGGCGGGTTGGGGACTTTTCCTGATTATAAGGATGGACCTGTTGATCCTCCACGTTCAACATTGTTTTCCGCCTCTCTCGCTTGAAAAACCGCCACGCTTTGAGCTGCCGGGACTCCGCATCTACACGAATGGAGCCCATTACACCTGAATCTATGTTCCTTCTTTCTGAGCTTTCTCTTTTTTCTTCAACTTGCTCATTATCTTCTCAATGAATCCGTATTATGTTGAGTTATTTTTGTTGAAGTGAGCGCTTGTTGTGAATTTCCAGGCACTCTTCATACCCATTATAGAAACAAATGCTATCGCTCCAGGTACAGGATGACAGCTCCAGTTTGTTAGCAACAGAGACCTACCCACTGCACCGGTGTTTCATAAGTGATGAGATGTCATGGGAGGTGTCATGCTGTCCACAACGATTCTTTGTGTTTCCTTTGTTACTGCACTGCAGTGAGGAATCTGTGTAAGTGTAGGTTCGAAGTAGACTTTCTTGAGGTAGATGTCAGATAGAGAGAGGAGAAGGGGGGGGGGGGAGAGGAGGGAGCGTAGGGGACGGGCATGGTGGAGTAAGGGAGATAGATCAGAGATAGGATATACATAATCCCTGGCTAGAAGCTGTGTTTTGGAAAACATAGAACTTTGTGGATGAAAAGAGCGTTTGTTTGTAGTAAACGCTTACTCAGTAAAGATAAGGATGTTCAAGTAAGTGCATACCTCAAATGGTAAAATTTAGATACCTGCACTCAAACTTAAAACATTAGACTTACGTGACCAAATGTTGCAGTACTGAGCTTGCTCTCAATTCAATGGAGATTTAGGGCCGCATGCACTGCACTGAGCTTACCGTACCTGCTTGAGAGTAAGTTCTGCCTCTAAGGACCGCATGCACTAACATCCCCGCGGGGAGGGGATCGCAGCTTAAAAGAAAGCTTTATATTTCGAAACTCCAGATACCTGGATTTCACCTTGTGTACCTATCCAAGTATTAAGTACAATACCGCTCTCAGAACGTGCAAAATTTCCGTGAATGTCGCGGAAATCCCGGAATTCCGCGAAGGACCGCGAAATTTTCGGAATTTCGCGACATTCCGGGAATTTCGCGGAATTTTCGGAATATCGCGACATTTCCGGAATTTCGCGACATTCCGGGAATTTTGCACGTTCTGAGAGCGGTATTGTATTCCTACTACCCTTCACTATGAACATGTTGAACAGGAGCGAGAAGCTGTATGAACTGCATTTTCCAGCTTTTGTATGATCCCTGATGACCCCTGGCGCTTTTCTTTAAAGTCATTTTTCTCTCTCCGAAGTTAACGAAAAACCTCCAAAGTTGTGCAGATTATGTAGCCCGACAGTGCTAAGCATGTTGCTGATAAGAACAAATGATGTCTTGAAGTCATGAAATTTTCGATGATCTACACGAAATTTGAGGTTTACCGAAAAATTCGATTTTTCAAAAACTCATTTGTTCTCATCAGCAACATGCTTAGCACTGTTGTGTTCATGTTCAGTACAACTTTGGAAGGTTTTCGTTAACTCGGAGAAAGAAAAATGACTTTAAAGAAAAGCGCCGGGGATCATCAGGGATCATACAAAAGCTGGAAATTCGGTTCGTACAGCTTCTCGCCTGTTCAACATGTTCATAGTGAAGGGTAGTAGGAATACTTACGGATGGGTACACAATGTGAAATCCAGGTATCTGGAGTTTCGAAATAAAAGGCTTTCTTTTAGGCTGCGATTCCCTCCCCGCGGGGATGTTAGTGCATGCGGTCCCTAGAGGCAGAACTTACTCTCAAGCAGGTACGGTAAGCTCTATCTTGGTGATAACACAGAATTCAACTTTTTTTCTCCTAATCTTGGCGATTTCACTCAATTTTTCTCTCAGAAATTCTTTCAACCATCTCTTCTATCAGAACATCGTGCAAATAGCTCTCCACGAGCCTCGTTGTGTCCAAAAATCATGCGTGAATGAGGCAGACAAAGAACTGAACTCGAACTTTAAAAATTTAAGAACTTTAAAAATTATTTTAATTATTTTCAAGTGCAAACAAGTCGTTTGCACATTTTTACAACCCATATAGGTAAGTTTCAAAAATTTCGCGACCCATTCTCGGGGGGGAGGGGGCGCGCGCCCCCCCCCCCGTCCCCCCCCCCCTCGGTCCGCCACTACTACGGACCGATTGGGTCAGACTCGTGAAGAACCTACAATTGCAGTGATAATGGTATAAAACGATGATGTGTTGAGGGCAGCTTGGTATGATTTTGTTCAGTTCTCCACATATTAAAAATTCAATTTTCTCTTCGATTTATAAACGCTTTATTCTATTCAGGTCATCCGAAAGTTTTGAAACTTCTGTCAATGAGTTGATCCGAAGAGGATATGTGCGTAAATTTGAACAACGAGTCCAAATTCAAATGAACAGTGTTTATCTCCCTGACCATGGACCATCCTTTGCAAGAACCTTGCTGAGCGGAGGCTGCTGAGACATGGAGCACCAGTGAAGAATGTTCTCTTTGCACTTCGTGTATTTTATGTTAAACAATGTTTTGGACATGAAATACCCCATATTGCCTTTTCCGAATACTTGGGCTGTCAAACACGCTGTAAAGAGCATTATCCAGCTATTCATGCATCCTTTTGAAAAAGGTGTTGAAGTGTGAATAACGGTTCAAATGAACATTCATTTTAATCGTAGCGAATGGAGGGTCTTGTGTCATTTCAAATGTTCACCGAATATATGAGAAGGGGTCCAGTTAAATTAACTAAAGTTTCATTTCAAGTTGGTCGCGGAGGTCTTTTCGCTTTATTGGTTGGTCACCGAAGTTCAAGGACAGTGCCTCGGAGCGACTCTATGTTGGATTTCCCGCATCAAATTCCCGTCTTCAAAATTTCTTTCTCCTCCGGTCATGTGAGAGGAGTAAGCCTACCAGAATTTTTAAAAATGACTTTTGGGTGCTACTGGTTATTTTGCACAAGTAGGTTAGTGTCAAACTCTCAACTTCCATGTATTGGTCGTTCCGAAACCCTCTCGTGTCCCTCATCGCGAGTATGAAGTCCGCAAAAACCTCAACTCCCCGTTCCGGAGAACACGCAGACGGGTTCTCTGGAACGGTGATTGATCGACGAGCAGAAATGGGCGGGCATTACTGCAGGGAGGCGGTGCCGACTTGAAGTCCTCATATATCTTTGCTATTCCGAAGCAGTTTTCTCGCTTACAAGCGACATTTTGTACCGCGACTTGGGTATTGGGTTGATAGGGGATTCTATCGTAAACCGCCAAAAGCTCAAGACCTCTAATTGGACGATGCCCTCTACCCGATTTCAAAACTCAACTTCGATCCACCGCAACTCTTTAGAAATATCATCATGAACGCAATAAAGTATTATGATTTGCAGTTTTGCATTTTACTCGAAATCACTGCACAAAACGAGGAAGATTTTCTAAGCGAAGATTCCAAATATCTCCTTAGGTACCTAAAATTTAAAAAACCATAACTCGATGTGGAATGTAGTAGTGCACAAGCATTGCTCGTTGTGTAGTCAATAGTCGGCTGATACTGTTAACCATAGATTTTGTCGAATTTTAGCATAAGAATCTTCTGCAAAAGACCCGAAAGTAGTCACTTACCTCGCTCTTCCTGAGGTAATGGAAAAATACCTTTTCTTCGAATTTTTTGATTTTTCGCCAACAGACATCCGCAGACATTTGAAACTTTCTTGCGTTTTTCTACCAAAGAATGTTCTAGGTTTGATCCCATCATATAGAGCGAATTTACTGCGATTGCAGTGTACTTAAGACTTTTATGCAAATTCTTGGGACCACAATGACAGGTCACTTCTTTCCTTGAGGACCATGAGTCATTTTCGTAGTACAATATTCCAACAAACTTTACATATGTTTTAAAAGAAGCTCCCGTCTTCTGCCCGTTGATTTCACGACGTAGAGAAAACGAAAATTCCCACATTCCTCTTATTGTCTTTTATGGTATGGAATTACAGAATGACGTACTTAGCTCCGTGGAAAAGAAAAAATCACCAAAAACAAGAAGAAGAGAGCTTTCAAACGATGTACGGTATACACGGCTCCCCATTATACAGAGCTTTGGTAAGAATACAGGGCTTTTTAAAAAAAATAGAAAGATCAGAGACAGTGTGTAGAAGAAATTTTACACAAGATTCTTCACTAAAATGTGAGAACTTTCATACAATATGCTTGCAAAACCTATAAGCAAAGCATTCTGATGAGATGAAGATACCTCATTGAAAGAGACAGCCGATCTGGTTAGCCTATTATGAGAGTTTTAGCTTGTTAGATTTTCTTTCTGAAGCATGATATGATCCTCAGCGGCTAAAAACCTTCTTCAAAAGTCCCTAATGCAATTCTAGTGAAAAGATATTTCATTCTGTAATGTCAATCGGAGTTGAAGCTTAAATATGTAATAGCCATGGTGTTCGCTAACAACTTACATGCAGTGCTTCAGTGTTGTTAAACAATTAATATATCGGAAAAAGGAGAAATCGTTCGAATTCAGCGAGAAGGGAAGAAACAGGACGACATTCGTGAAACACGAGTAGTAATATCTCTTCCAATGGTCAATTATACAGTTCCACAACTCCCAGAACAAACAAGTATAGTCAAAAAGTCCTACAGCAGAACTCAAAATTGTTCAAGAACTCAGAAACCGAAACAATATATGCTCTGGGCTATAGTACGTTAATCTGGAGTAAAACCAAACTCATTTTTATGGAGGTGCCAAAGTCGATAACATGAACTAGAGTATCGCTTGAAACAAGAGCTGATAGGATACAGAATGGTATACATCCCATAGTTTGTCTCTCGTACTAAAGGCAGCGGCTCGTCAGAATTTCGTTCTCCAGATTATCATTTTTTCGGGCATTCTCGACATGAGAAACCCATACCTGGACTTTTCAGCGCATGAAAATAGCGAAAATGAGCTTTTTTCAAGTTTTCCAGATCCGGATTCAGTGAAGATATGCCGGAAAAAGCCGCGTCCCGCCTCCCCCACTCCACGCCCCGCCCACTCCTCCACTGAGCGCTAACCTAGAAAGCTTCTGAAAAAGTCCATTTCTCGCTTTTTCATGGCGAGAAAGCCCCGAAAAGGTGAAAATCTGGAAAACGAAATTCTGCCGAGCCGCTGCCTTTGAATTACCTAGTGGGTTTCAAATCTGAATTTGTTGACGTATTTTGCGGACCCATGATAGAACAGTCTGATTGCACAATATTGTAATTCATGTAAACCACCCAAAAATCGCGAGAGCTCCTCCTTTGCTATTTCTCATCTGTTTGCCATCAGAGACGAACTTTGTAAGAAGAATGTTTTGTGCATTTGATAGATAAAATGCTAGACACACACAAAAGTTCTAGAATTTGTGTGTTAGTTATTGGCAGTAAGATTGAGTAGATATGCAAAAGGGGGGAAGGGTGTAGCTGTAGTCATTCTTTCAAAAAACTTTTCACACATCTGCTTTGGAATTCACTGCAGTTTAGGAAAATTTTGCCATAGATGCTAATGAAAACAAGTCGTTGAGCAGTTTTATGACTCGTGGATATTTATATGCGCCGTAAAACCTGATTGCCCGCGCCGTGCCTTGAACACCAGCGTAAGCGAGCGGTCGTCGGGAACGACAGTCGGCGTTCACATAACCCAAGAAATCTTTAAGTTTCATGTTGTTTTCGTCAATGCAAGGTTTATCTTGACGAAAGCTCCCTTTAAAAGTTCAAAAATATGTGCAAAAAGGATGCGCGCTCATTGTCGCTCGCGAAAAGTCTGTACTGCTTCGGGACCAAACGTTTCCAGCCGCACCGCGCATTCGTGTTCAAAGCGACGCGTGGGCAATTGGATTTTACGGGGCCTGTATGTTGACACTTTTTGAAGGCACCCGTCTTCATTCAGCTGATGCAGTTTGTCCAAAATAACTGCGCCATTTGTTCAGAACAAACGATGAGGGAGTAGAGAGTGACATGCGTTATTGTGTCGATGTCACTCGCTGTCACTTACCGTACGCGCGACATTTGTCGAAATCGGCGCTCAAATTCCTAATGGGGCGCCTCAGTGACGCCATTACGCGTAGTGAATTTATGTCGATTTTGTCGACGTCGCTTTGTTGCGTCAAACCTCCACGTGTTCTGAGAAATAGACAGCCTTTCATGGGCCGCCGAGCCTCCACGTCTCTCACAGCGGCCTCCATCTGAGAGTGAACGAGCGAGAAAAACGACCGACAGAAACAGACGAACACGTTCCGACGATCGACACCACGAGTTTTTCGCCTTCTTTGGCTCTTACGGTCATTTCTCATTCGTTTTTGCATGCTCATTCTGTTATCTGTTTCTGGAAAATGCTTTCATCTTGGACCCAATGTTTCAGACGAATTTATCACACCATAGGGTGTTGTTAAGTGAGGAAATTTTGCTGTAACGCAAGAAAACTCCATAAAATTCATGGGAAATTTTATATGGAGTACTGCGACTTCCGTAAATTCCGGTAACCAAGACTGATACCGTAGTTTTTGTAGCTCTTAGAAATCGATCGATTTCAGAACAGACAGTGAACAGAAAACAAAGAAATAAGTCTTCCAGGGATTTTATGAGCTTCAAGGGAGTTCTTAGTTGAACACTGTACTTCGGAGTCCTCATCCTTTCTCAAACAGAAAATCATGCAAAGATGTGAAATTTGACGTTAAGTGTGCTTGAATATCGTGAGTATAATAGGTTTGAGAAGTGAATTTGCTTGTTTCCCTGGATTGCGAGGCTACATAAAGCGGCAGTTAATGGTTATTTTGCTCTTTTGTAATACGTGTTTACTGTATTTACAAGGTGCGGAAAAAGTACTGTCCCTTCAACTTGGCGCCTGAAATATACATCAAACATAAAGTAAACCTACAGTTTTTTGATTCCCACATGTAGGCGAGATCCTCGAGATTAGATAAAAATAAGTTTGATTTGAGATTGTTCCCTTCTGTCCGTTTGAACTAGTGATAACAGCGCGCAAGAACATTAACGATGCGCCGATAGCATACAAGCGCGATTTTGGACCGTAACTATACCACTATTATTGATATAAGGTTCAAATTAAGCCGGTATGTAGTGAATGACCTCTTCTCCAATATTCTATACCCATTATAGATGAATTATAGATTGGTGACTCTTGTTTTGGCCAAGTAAAGGAGATTATATCACACGCAAATCGCAAAAATTCTCGAAAAAGAGGCTAGCCAGGACTGCGCTTGCTTAGTGAATTGGACTCAAACTATGATTCGAAATTCAGATTCCAACAAAAAATAGCAGAATAATGAAAAGAGCATTGGACTTTGTCTACATTACGATTTTGGAGCGATAAACGATTTTACCTGGTCTCTGTGCCATGTTTTATGATCGCACTCTATTGCGCCACAGCCACTTTCTCGTTAGAAAAATTCACAGCTTTTCTCCTAGTGCAAGTGCTGACTGGATATTTTCAGAATA